CAAATATGGCAAGAACAAAATACTTTGAATGTACAAAATTAGTCTCCTAGTCAGACTTTACTGCTGCTTCCATGTAAGTAACTTGCACAAAAGATATCTGATAGAAGTGGATATAAAAGCAGAGTACAGGATAGAATTATGTCCCATAAAGTTTAATAGGTGAAAAGATATATAAACCCAGAACCAGGTCAGGGAGAGTACTAAAAGATAGTAACATTATTGGAGGATACAAATACAGTTCTTGCCATATGCCGGTATATTCTTGAGGTTGGAGATAGTAAGTTATTTCTAAGCTTCAACCTTTATTATAACTCGTAAATTGATTGCTGAAATTAAAAATTTATTAAGGCTCTGTTCGGCATGTCACTTTTACGGCATAAAAGTGACTTCTATAGCATATTTTTTGGTATATAAAAGTTTTTATATTGGGGTGTGTTCGGCACTTGTTATCAAATGACAATATTTTTTTATTACCAATATAAAAATTTATTGTATATTTTTATATTAGGGCTAGGTTTAAAACCATGAAATAGCACTAACAAAATATGTAAACCTTTAAACTATAATAAAGAGTTTCATTTATTAATTGAGAAAAGTAAACATAATAATTAATTCTATACTGTTATTTCTATCTAGTTACTTGTAATTTTCTGTTTATAAATAAACTTCAATTGTTATCCTTCAATTTTATATTGTGGATTTTGTCACTAAAACTAAGAGTAGAATAAAAATCATGAAGATATATCTGTTATGACTGAGAAGCTCAGAAGGTAGAGGCTAATTAGTACATATTTACCAATTACATGGTTGTAGATAAACTTGAACAATTCTGCAGTGCAGTTGAAAGACTATAAAAGAAGTTAAAAGCTTTTTTACAGTACAGTTTATCATGGATACCTACCCTAAGCTGAATTGTGTGACTATAATTTCTGCTTTTTTTCACACATTTGTGGCATATTTGCCAAATGGATATATATATTTTTTACTGCTGAATTTTTTTATTGGCAGATATGCTATTTTCAACTTTTATTGTAATAGATTTTTATTGATACATGCCGAATGGATCCTAAGCTCATCTCCTATGGTTTTGTAAAAGTAATAACTATGCATTAGGAAAAAGTAAGAAATAATCAGGATATCGCAAATCAGTCTACAAATTTAGTAATCAGAGAAGTTGGAAAAAACTATTGCTTTAAATCAAGCATGGAGATAGTTGGACAAGCTTGGATTTAAGTATACTAAGTACAGAAAAGATATATATAATGATGGACATAAATGTGAGGATATCAGAAATTACCACAATAATATCTTCTATACCCACATGGTCTCCTATGCTAACCAGTTTCTTCAATGGGATGCAAATCTTTAGGAGATCTCAAATTCATGACTCTGGTAGGAGAATTACACTGGGAGCCAGTGATACTGGTCACTCAGGCTGAATACATGTTCAATTAAAATGATAGCAGACACTTCCTATAGGTTTATCCTGAGTAAAGACTACTCAGAAATATTGTAGTCAGAGCCTCTATGTTTTAGACTTTCTGACAACAATTTGATACTTGAGTAATCAAGGTATGTATAATTATAAAATGTGGTGGCCATGTTTGGTGGAATAGTAACAAATTGTGAGACCAGTTTGTTCTGAAAGGTATTCCTTCCTACCTTTGAATTATAGTTTTCAGGCTGTCAGGCTTTATTTGCCTTTGATGAAATCATCTGAAGTCTTCTGATAATACCTTTCAGGTTTCTGAAATGAATCCAGAACTAGGGAATAAGAAGATAAAGAAATGCATGATACTCCTGTTACTAATATTAGCCATCCTAAAGGTGGTTATGTTTAGCCTTTAGTATTATCAAATAGGATACCAAAAGAACTAAAGATGGTTCTTATTAAATGTAGCCTCTAGCCAAAAAAATCAAAAATGCTTTCTTGCTTAATAATCAATCAAGTCAGTAACTTAAAGATATATCAAGCCTGATCCCTAGTGTCTTTACTAGAGGCACTGACAATTGTGGTACTTGTACCTTGCTGGTATTACAACATAACTTTCATAACCAGAAATGTCAAACCTAAAAAGCTCTTCTGAAGGTTGGTTATGATATTATCTTCTACCCCACCTTTTACTGTAAACTGAACTTTATTAAATATTATTGGAAAGCAGTAAAGAATTATACCCATAGCAATTATGAGTATGATTTTGAATCTTTAAGATGTCTAGTGTTGGAAGAACTACTAGTAGCCAGTGTCTTGAATGAGTTCATTTGGAAATTCTGTGCAAAAATGAAATCAAATTATGGAGGTCCACCAGTTTACTAAGGTAGTCTATACTTCAAGTATATGATTGAGAATTTGATATCTCGGCAGTATAATTCATACTGTCATGTGAGAAATTCTACAAAACTTTGAAATAAATATTCTTTAATGTACTATCAGTTTGCTTTCAATGGTTTTAAATCTTTCTTTACTTATTTTTCCTTTCTATATCTTTAATTTGAATGTCAGAAACATGGAACAGTACTACATTGAACAAAATAGAAAATACCAAAAAAAATTAATTTAGAAGTAATAGGACTTGAACCGCTACACTCCAAAATCTGCATTTGGAATTATATTACCCTTAACTCTAATCATGTAAAGCATTACAAGATGCACCCACCCATAATCCTACCAACCAACCATCTGTTACAATACAGCTAACCCATCTAAGGGAATCCACATAGGGTAACCATGCCACATGGTTGCTCAGGTGGCCATGACATATGAAAGCTTTCTATTCTCCTTGCATATAATCGTAATATCTAGTATTGAAATAGCTATTCAGGTCTAGTCAATCTCTATCTGTTTGTTCTTTCTGCTCGGCTTTGCTATTTAGTATACTGCAATTTTGTGTTTGATCTTCTTTAGGTTTGGGCTTCTTTGTTCCCTTGTTTGTTCAAAATCTCAAGCTTGGAGCTCACTACTTTTTTCTATTGTCATTCAAATCCTTCTGCTTTGAATGTATTCATTCAGTTTCATAAATAACTCTATAGCAGTGAAACTAATTACTCGGCTGTAGTAGTTGCTTCTTTATTCCATATTGACAATGATCGACGCTTGTGTTGTATTTGGCGGTAGTGGGTTATGGGACCACACGATACCAAATCGACCGGAGAGTATCATACTAACCTATAGAAAACACTAATCTCGCGGAGAAGGCACCACGGAGAACCAAAGAAAAACCTAAGGTCAAACTTTCATACGGGAAACCTGGTTCAGCAGAGTGGCTAATCCCCTATGCAATGAGTTATACGGAGGGCCGAACCAAGACTTGTTATGGTTCTTTAGTCCCGATCATTCTATCCGTAAGGGCCGCGTCCATTTTATGCATCTATTGATCATGACCCATCCCAATCCCAGTATGGCGGGAAGAAAGATCTAGCCCAGCGACAGGATCCCCTAGCTCCTGAAGGGCTCTTGAGAGTGGCTATGAATCGTAATCCCTCCACTCCTGCGCCGATAATCGCCCTAGGCGTTTCGCAGAGGGGTTTGGGGGGCGGCGGGCCCGATAGCAGGTTCATATCGTGACTTCGGACGGGGTGGATGGAGGATCCTGCGGGCTGGCGACACTCATTTGTAACCCGTATCGTGAGTCGGCATTTAATTGTCTGGGTGACGACCAGCGGGTGATTTCTCATGATAGTGCCCTCGAGAAAGAAATTAATACCGAATCTGGTAATTCCAGAAGGAATACAACATGATCCTTAATGCCACATGAAGAAACGAGACAAAATAGGGCTAAAAAGAAGAGCAAACAGGTCCCTAGCATTTCAAGTTCTCCACACTCCCAGAACTGCTGGTCTGGCCCTGCACACTAGTTCCAAGGACTGAAGAATGGTGCCTCAGATTACTGCGGCGTGCACCTTGACAAAGCCTATCATCCTCTGAACTTGCGGGGCCGAGTAATCCGTAAAACGCCTTCTCGGCGGTCGCGCCACTGGGCAGCCGGGGGCAAGAGACTGTTCCTGAGCACGGAGATGCTGTGGAGCAAAGAGCTGGCTTGAATAGCCTCGTCATATTGGTCCCAGAACCCGAGAACCTCCTCCTTGACTACTTCACAAGCCGAAAAAGTGACTGCTCTAAGTACACGCCTTCAATTCTGGCTTATAGCGCCATGTACCGAGAAACCCCTCCCCCGAGTAAGCGCACCAATAGGAGCCCGGGGCGCTATACTCGAGAACTATCCTGTAGCAACCAAATTTTTGAGCGCACCCGCGGTTCCTTCTTCCCTGTCCGGGAAACACACAGGCACTCCATTAAGCCCAGAGCCTATCTATCTCAGACCATGACCAGGTCTCTAAGATATCCTGAGTCAATTCCTCCAACTGGAAAATGTTCTCAATTCTTGTACTAGTCACCTGACCTATTCGGTCACTAACTCTTCAATTTTATATAAGCCAATATGTGTGTAAAAGCTGCCGTGGTTTGAATCCATTAGTATATCCTTGAAGTCCTCCCACGCTCCCGCTACATCATTGAGACCCTTTAGCTAACGGTGGTCACCACGTTGTCAATTCCCCCAGATCACTCCACCCCATTCCATCCAGGAGCCTGGCAGTGGTGCTGCCACGATATATAGCCTACGATGCCCCGGCGGGACCCAATCAGCAACATTCGCATCGATAGTGACCATGCAGCAGATCTAGATCCGGTCCTATCCTACTCTCTGCTTCGCCTTAGGATAATTACACTATATCAAGAATGAAATCCTGAGTGACCACTCTTCAGCTCCAATACCGATTTTTGGCATATTCCGGCCAATAAATAAGTGATGTTGATCGAGAAACTTTCTCAGGGAGGACAGCTGCGATACCGACCGGAATGTGATGATGAGGGACCAACCGGCAGGTAAAACCTGGTGTGGTCAATTTAAGGTTGAACATACTGTAGGACGTAGGTTACGTATTATTGGGGTTATTCCGAGAAACCTGGAATCACAACAGATCACTCGTGCGATCCGAATGGAGAAAAAATGAATGAATGAATTTCGCTATGTATGTATGATATACGCTACCGACCGAATAAACGGTAATGCTCCGCCGAGAGGAGGAAGGAAAAGGAGAACGATGAGATCCTGCCGACCAAACATCGAAAGAACAAGTGAGGAGATATCATACATCTCTAAGTTAAACAACCCGAGGACCTGAGAGGGATGCAACGAGGACCAGCAAAGAAAGCGACTTTAACTATCAAAGCCACCATATTCCGAAAGACATCAAAGATTTGAGAAGCATCTTTCCGAGTAAATTAAAATACTGCGAACCGATCTGCAATCCTAGGAGAATGCGAATCTGATGGACCCGTTGATCCCTCATGTTTACCTGCGTTCTGGGGGTGTCCGGTGACCGATATCGCCACTGGTGACCCGCAATGGGGGGCTGGATAAGGAAAGGAAGGAAAGAAAGAAAGGGAAATGGTTAAATACAAGCTCACCCAATATTGACAAGTAAATCACGTCCAGAATGTCCGACTAATTCGAGGAGGAAGGACCCCCGACCCTCCTCCGCTCCTCTTCCCTCCTTTTCCAACGGCGCTCGTCAGAGGCCCTTCTAGCCCGGTCTCTAATCCTAGCCATCTCCATTTCCAACTCGCCTTCCGTGAAATTAGACACTTCGCTCATGTCCGCGGCAAGAGCACCGATTGTTCCACCCCACCTTTGGTCTGAGACTGCCGCAGGGGGGCTGGCTAAGCGTGGCGGTGTGGGTGAGAGGCCATGTATTGGGTTTATGGTTGCGGAAACGGCGTTAAAAGAAGATACTGTAGATGGGATGGAGGCTACAGACCTTTTCGACGTGGAACAGGCTCTTGATAAGGCTACGTCGAGGTAGTTGCTGCCGCTAACATCTGAGGTAGAGGGTGGGAGTAGCAGGATAGGTGGTAGCAGAGGGTGCGAGCCAACAGCAGAGGTCCGAAGTAGCGGTGTTGTAGCGAATTTCGGGGGTGTGTCTTGCGGGTTTGAGTTGGTTCGCCGCGGTGGCGGCGGTGGTGATGGGGGTGGGGGGGTTGCCTTCTTGGGGCTATCCTCAGGGGCGTCGAGTTCTAATACACTTCTTCCACTCCAGGATCTGCGGTGGGTTGGTATCGACAGGTGCTTTGGGGTTGCAATCCCAGCACTGTCTCTCGAGGCCCGTTTTCCTTTGCCCTTCGAAGTGTTGGGTCCTTCCTTGAAACCTCCGAACGCTGCCGAGAGGGGCGGATCTGGAAGAGATGTTATATTCCTTGAACTCCGTTCTGAGGCCCTTCTGGGCCGGCTAGTGGGGTTGTATTGCGTTGCGATGTGCTCTGTAAGGTTGCTGCAGGAGTATGTGTACGAAAGGCGACTGCTGGGCTTGGCCGAGGGGATGTTCGCTCTTGCGAGGGCTGCTACGTGCGGGTATTTTCTGTCTATCAGGGTGCTTGCGACTGGCGGTGGGGCGGACAATCCTAGAATGTTCTCATAATTCGGCGAAAAGTCTTGGAATGCGGACGTCTCATCTGTGGCGTGAGATGCCGGCGAAGAATTGGTATCTAGTTTGAGGGGAGCTAAGGGGGGAGTTCTTGGGATGGCAATCCGTGTCAGCCTTGGCCATTCCTGTGCACTTTCAAGATGGGCTGGAGTCTTGCCCCCTATCGTTGATGCTGCACCGCTCGCTCGGTGGGTGTACAACTCGTTGGAAAGGGCACTCCCGGTCATCCTCTCAAGTTTGCCAACAACCGGAACCGCCGGTACGGTCACGCTCCCGGACACGCCCAAACCCGGTGTTCTGCGAGCATGCCAAATTCCATAGCCATGGCCTACTGTAGCCGCACCTTCGACTCTCCCATTATTAGATCCGCGCTCCCTACGAGGCTCATCGTCCGATATCTCTCTCACATTGTGTGATAGCGTTTTCGACTCCCGGGTCGTTCTCGCAGCAGGAGGTGGGTACCTGGACGCCGCCGTTTCCCTATTTCTCGAGAAGAGGCGACCAAAAAGCGGTCTCCCGGCTTTTGGCGCCTTCACATTATTCTCCTCATCGCTCTCCCTTGGAATACCACCACCAGCTCCCATCCTAGCCCGCCTATCCTTCTCCTGCTGTGATAACTGCTGGCGCTTTCGTTGTCTGTAGGCTCGAACAAAGATAATGACTGCTCCAACAAAGGTTATAAGAACAAGTGAGGAAATGACCGCAACGGACGGCAGGATGGCTTCTGGGAACACTGACGAGGAGCCCGAAGGGTTGTCTTGACTGTGAGGTGGCATGATTTCCCCCTCTCCTCCTTCCCCTCGATTCTCGGAGAAGAAGACCTAAATGAAGAAGAATAGAGGCCAGAGGTGCGTCTATGTGCGCTCGACGGTTGTCGTCTTCCAGTTGGCCGAAGGTTCTGACGGTGCACCCTTCCTGCCTCTACCACCGGGCTCGAACCACGATTAGACCTTGAGTAACTGTAGCTACCCCAACAGGTGGCCGAGATGGTCGTGGTCGTTGAATGTATGGACGGTGCACGAGGCCTCGCCCTTCTAGTACGTCTCAAAAACGCACTTGTAGAAGGATTAGAGCGGGCGTCAAGCGGCATTTGACTTTCGCCAGCGCAACCAAGCCGACCCGGGAAAAGACACGAGGGGAAAAGAGGTGATAGGAAAAGTGAAAGGGAATATTTCCTCAATGCGAAAAAAAAAAAAAGTCAAAGCGAAGGCTAGGCCGGTAAGGGGTCCATTTCTGTGGGCTATTCAGTTATGAGTTACGGATTGATTCTTTATTATCATTATCTTTGAAGCGGGCAGGAGGGAAAGATCAACGCACCAAGCGGGGTAGTGGGTTGGGTTATTATACAGCAACCAACTGACGGCGAAAAAGGAAGTAAACTTCGCAACCACTGCAGCTGCAAATATGGACGGGCACGCGGAGAAATGAGACAAGGTGAGAGCAGTGCAGGAGGCACAGCAGGATATCTATAGAAGTTGGGGGTCCGTCTGTCTGTCTACCATACCATATGTACTCGAGTACAGTTCAAGAATCAGCTTCATCATCTGCAACAGCCGTGTCGCACCACAATTCAAAACTTAGTACTTGTAGAGTACCGTAGAGCCCCACAGTGGTAACGCGCTCATATTGGAAAGCGGAAGATTTTGTACTTTTTTTTTTTTTTTTTTTTTTTCCCTTTCCCCGCCCGGTAGGTGTGGGAAAGGAAGGAACTTCGGGGAAGCAAGTACCAGATTGATCCGCTGCATGGTGCTGGGGGGGTACAATTCTATATCACACATACCTAACTGGCCGTAAGCATTTTGTCGGTAAGGAAACCGAGGGTCAACCTGTTATTGCAAGCAACTCTACTCGGAGAGCGATGGTAATGTGAAGAATCTACGGTATAATATCTGGGCTAAGCATCGTTTATTTTTTAAGAGGGGGGGCGGATAGGGATGGGATGGAGTAGATGGTGCGGAAAGCCTAGCAAGGGGTAAAAAAGTGAGATGGGAGGGGTTGTGTAATAGATAGTCTACGTGGGTGTATCGGGACTGTACTCGTACAGTACCAATGCATCCGGAACGCATGAAGGGAGCACGTATGAGGATACCAGGATGAGGATGGTTGGAAGCGACAACCGCATCGCCCTCCCTCAAGACGGGAAAATTGGGGATGATGCCGCACTTCCTTCCTTCCTTCCCTCTTTCCTTCCTTCACACACCTATTCATTCACAGCCCCAAGCATGACAAAAAGCATAGGGTGCGGCCAGTTCAGTCAATCACTCTTTACTCGTAGTCATTGTATCCTTTTTATTCTGTGTTGCAGGTGGTACATCACTGTGCTGTACAAGTACCGGTACCTCCACTAAAGTTTGTGATAAGGATAATAGCCGCGTCCTATCTGTCCTCCCTCCCCCTGCCAAAACCGTGCACACCATGCAAGAGCACGCTTACGTCTGGAGTACGGTAAGGCAGGGGCCGGGGGATGGATCGGAGGCTCATGCAACTCGACACAATCTACTCTTTTGAAGATAGAGTTGCTGTGTTGGGGATGTTGGGGCGATCCGGACACAAGCGAGCAGCCCCGAAAGGGCAGAAGCAGGAATGGGATGGAACGGAAAAATAAGACATATCGCAGAATAGAGTGGAGCTGCTGGCGTGATGGACGGATAGGTGCTGAAGTTTCATCGTGTGAAAATAGGAAAAATAAATAAATAAATAAATAAGAAAATGAAGAAGGGAGGGAGAAGGAAGGAAGGAAGGAGAGCTGGAACGGGCCGGTTCACCAATCGGGGGATGCAGTACCGGTACGGTAGGGGGTACGAGGGTATTGTATAATAATACCCGCCCCATGGCCCATCATGCATTTTTTTTAGATTGGTCGTCTACCTTTCGTAGGAGGATGATATGGTATGCGGCATGTCAGCGATGTCACCCCTCTGCCTCGCTTTTACCCATCTGCCATACTAACCCTGCCCCAATCAGTGTTGAGCGCGAATACCAAGAGGCGCTTCTGGCGAAAATGATATCGGAGTGCGGGACAGAACAGTACTCGAGTAGAGTACTCGTACAGTACCAGTACTAGCACAGGGCAAGGTATCGGATCCCACCTTCTCTGAGATCACCGCTTGTTCATGCGTTCAGTCGAGCAAGTGCCTTTTAAAGTGTGACCCCGCTCTGCATTTTCGTTTTATTTTGGAATTCGGGAGGTCGGAGCAAGCCCTTTTCACCTCCCTCTGCCTGCCCTTTGGGGGGACGGGTGTCTAATGTCCTAAAACGAGGCAGCTCTTCTATACTCAGAGTGCTCGCTTGTGGTTATCTGCCTGAGCTTGGGCTGCTAAGTTAATTTAGCGCGCAGCTGCAGATGGCGGTGAAAAACATGATTGGTGTACTGGTCGCATCGCGAGTTGAATGGATGAAGGTCCAGGAGAATTCGAACCGAAGGTGATCAAACCTACCACGGCTGGGATATGCCTGGCACTATGGAAAATAGAAATTCCTCCTACCATATCGCAAATCGTACCGTACCAAACTACAAACAATAAAAGCATCGGAGGGCCCTTAGGCTAATTGCCGGTCCTCCTCCTCCGTCGCCATCGGGCTCAGTCCTAAAGGATGAGAGTGGCAGGGCACTCATCGACTATTTTTAGCGTAGGGAGAGTGGTGAGGGGGCAACCTGACCATGATCAATGATGGTCTCGGCTTGGAAGTGGTTGCACGGCAGGTGCGTTTTGAGCTTGCGGGGGGAGAGAGGTGAGATTTCTTGTGAGTGTGGGAGGGGATAAGGGAATTGGGGGTAGGCAGCACAGTCCACCTTTTTATGGAGCAATACTGGGCTGAATTGTTCATAAGGTGTTGGCATCATCCTGAGCATCCCATCTCCTTAGTCATTCCACCCGTCTTGCTTCACTTCACTGCCTCCGGGGCACCCCGCCTTTCGGCAAAGAACGGATAGCACCCCTCTGACAAGTCCCTTTGGCAATTAACTAAATTGGACGGTTCACCCTTTTCCTGGCACCTCGGGAAATTTTGCTGAGGCCGCTGCAGTTCCTATATTGTACACCAACAAGCTCACCGACTATAAGCCGAGGCGCCCCGGACCCCAGTCTTCCCTTTTTGCCATTCGCCTTTCACCTTTTATTATAAAAATGTGCCTGTACTGCACCTAGCTAGAACCTGACTTCCGGAACCCAACCACAGGTGGTTTATTTTTGCTTTTGCCACCCTGCTCTGCGAAGTGTGTAGCGGCTTGGAAAATATTTTTGAAGCTTGGATGACCTCTGTAGCATCTTTTGGAGACATAAAAAAAAATGAAATATTCATGCGCATGGCCAAGGTTGTAAAGCATTTTCCGACTTTCAATTCGAACAAACGAAAGTCGGGTTTTAGCTGGTATCATACCGGCTCAAATAACGGACCCCAATTTTGCCAACAAAAATCCCCTTCCCGGTCCAAATCGCGCCAACGCCGCCAAAGTTTTACATAGGTAAGCCCATGCATAAGGTGTGTTTTTTTTCGGCGCACCCTTTTAGGGGTGTTTGGCGGCCATGATTGGGATTTGAAATGGCAATTTCTTGACTTTGTATAACGTCTTGGCACTTTTAACTCGGAATACCACAACTGTTAATCCTGATCCTGCAATTAATAATCTGGGTTAAATTTGCCAAGACCTGAACTCAAATCGCGAGATCGCGATCCCAAATCCCCCTAGATTTTGCTTACAGTTCAGTACTATACGGCACAATCGATCAGCATTCAAACCCCTATCATGACTAGAGTACCGGTACAACGTACCCTACTACCGGTAGGGCCGGTACTGCACTTACTGTCGCTGCTGCCATGAGGCACAAGTACCGTGGGTAGCGTGAGATTGAAATCATGCCTTCGGGTGGGAGGAAAAAACGAAATTGAAGGTGGGCTTGGCCGGAACATTCTCCTGTTTATGTCGACATGATGGTGAGGTCGAGGGAGCCGG